TACGCAACTCTTGGTTTTTGAGAAGCGATCTCGTATTTTCTCCGCAAAATTCTCTTGTACTCTTCAAGGATCCTGTAGGTGGTAATAGTTGAATTGATTGCGAATAGCTAAAATGTGTTTGTGAGGATAGAAATTTTGATAAAAATTCATCTAGAAAATAGACTGGTTCAATGAGTTGAGTTTATTGTGGGTGAAGCTGAGCTTCTGGTTTTTTGGTTGTTGGTTTGGATTGGAATTGAACAGGACAAAGAAGGTATACCACCTGATCAACAAAGGCTTATCTTTGCTGGTAAGCAACTCGAAGATGGACGAACCTTAGCGGATTACAACATCCAGAAAGAGTCTACTCTTCATCTGGTCTTGAGGCTCAGAGGTGGAACCATGATAAAGGTGAAGACACTCACTGGGAAAGAAATCGAGATTGATATCGAACCAACCGACACTATTGATCGGATTAAGGAACGAGTCGAAGAGAAAGAAGGCATCCCTCCTGTACAGCAAAGGTAGAAAACCACACCTTTTTCTTTCTCTAATGACTTCAAATGTTTATGTTGCATTGTTTTTTGTTGTGCATTGATGACACCTCTTCCAGTCTGCTTCTTATCGATTGGGCACAACATTAACTCTTCCCTTGACTCGCTGTGTATTAAAGGCGTGAACCTTGTTACCGTCTTCTTAAACCGTTATCGGTTTATCGGTCTCATGTGTGCTTGTTGGATTCAATCTCTTTGTGTTTATTTTCAGGCTCATCTATGCCGGAAAACAGCTTGCGGATGACAAAACGGCGAAAGAGTACAACATAGAGGGTGGTTCCGTTCTTCATTTGGTTCTTGCTCTTAGGGGAGGTCTTGCTGCTGCTTCTCTGATGTGATTTGAATAAATAAGATTCAACAAACATCTTCTTTCTCCCTCTATTATGAGAAAAAAAAACAGATATATGGGAAATATTATGATGTTTTTCTATGTTTGTGTTTGGATCATCTTACTTCTATTTATTCAGTCTCTCTGCTATGATATTTTGAGAATTGGTGGAAACTCTTTAACCAATTCTTTCGTTTACTTGGGTCATTAGCAGGTAGAACAGTAGATTTATTCTAAAGAAATAGAGAATTTACTTTCTATGATATTTACTTATTGATGAAAAACAGCCATTTAATAAAATAACAAGGCTGTTTCATCTTCCTCTCACATCCCATGGTAATATCCTCGTTCGGTTTTTACCGAATCCTGGGGCTTAGTGGGTTTCTCCGAATCTAGTAGTTGGGACAATACCAGATTACTTAGTCACGTCTTACGGGATAAGTCCCATCTTTTATTAGGTTATGATTCCATCAAATAGCATCAACAAGTATCCTTCTGCGTGAGGTGTTATCTACCCTATAATGGGTTTTGTACTTCCCCTGTGGGATTGTTGTACCCCTAGTTGGATTATTTCTCTGATCTAATATAATAAGTTGGCC